GAGTCATAACACTCAGTGTTGGAGGAATGTAATGGTTGTTTTCCTCAGCTGAGCTCAGTTGTTTTCCTCAGCTGAGCTCAGTAGTTTCCTCAATAATTCCAGGACTTTATATACGAATTATTATAGATGTGCACAGAAACCAATACAAATTTTCCGAAAATCCCTTTCCAGAATTTTCATATTATCAGTGTCAACGTGTCACCTTCTCACACTGATAGTACCGCCACAGGAAATGTCAACGAAAATTTGCGTTATAGAAACTCCTCCTCCATCAATTGGAATATCGTACAGAGTGACGATATTTGTATGACATTTGCACAATTTCGCAATTCGTGCAATTTTCGTAAACTCCTGTCACCTCCAATTCGTTTCCAATAGAAGTCGTCGGGAACTTGATCTCTCGCATAATAAAATCAGATTCCTCAGAGGTTCTCGTTTCAAGATACGGAATAGGCCCACCAGTGGACATAAGATACCTCTCAATCTGAAGCCAACAACAACTCCAACCATACCATCCCTTCCCCAACTCTCCCACCTTAGTCGGACTAACCCGCACATGCAAGCCATCGCCATCTACGAACACTGCCGTAGCCGAGGCAAGGCCCTCATTCGAGAACTCCAAAGCGGTACCATCTTTTCGAGAAGAGCAGGAAACCTACACCCATGCACGAATCAACCACATGTGTCGGTGACAATATGGAAATTTTGAGGGAAAATTCTCGTTAGTTTCTGGGCACTTCTACCAGAATTCATCTACAAACTCCGACTAGTGAGAGAGCAAATTCCTGGGCTCAGCTGAGAAAAGCCAAGATATACAGTGCGTGTCAACTTGATATGCAAATGTGCGGTATTTCTCGAGGCTAATGAGAATCAATCTGAAACTATATCGCATATCAAATGTAACCATAACTATGAACATATGTTGTGATGAAAGTACCCGTCTGGAACTGTGATAGCGACAACTTGTTCACTAAAATTTGTCCTCTAAAATAACACACATTTGCATATCAAACTAACACCTACTGTATTTCAACCACGATTCACATTCACTCTAAACCACTTTTTCTGCACTTTTTATTCCATTATCGATATTTCAGCCACCACAAAGTAAATTCCCCCCTCTTACCGCAGTAGGCAAACTATTGCTATCAGGCTCCTTGAGCTCAGCTTTTTCAAGATCGAAAATATCTAAGTTCAAGTACCGTACCATGCAGTGCTGAGGGGTAGACTACTTACGATGACCATCAGCACAGCCAACGTGAATAAGAGGCTGCATTTTATTGGATGGATTCTCACAAACGTCAAAGTTGATGACCTTGGACCTCGTCAGCTCCCGAATGATGTTGCCCTTTTCGAGATCTATTGCGAACAACTGAAAAAGAAGAAATTCAAAACGA